ATCTGAGCATGGTGTCTGGGCAAGGGCTGAGATTGCCCATAACAAGGAGACAGAGTCCCCCAGGATATTCTAGCTTCCTATGTGAAGAGATGGCTATCCCATGAGACTGGGAGAGAAAGAGATTTTTTGATGACAATACTATAAGAAAAATTAGGTTAGAGTAGAAGTTCTGTCATCATCAGCCTTTGTTAATTTTTTCAAAAATGCTGAGCTACAGAACATTTGCTTTATAGACCTTCTATTAGATATCATACAATAATGAATGGATATAATGGCATAGAAGCTAAGTGTCCCGAGTTCTATTATTCCTGTATTACCACTACTTGTGTTACCTGACAAATGCCAGCTTTTGGGTCTATTGCTTGTACTAAAATGCTCTCATTCAAACTGTTAAGTACCGCCTCCTTTTTAACTCTCCTTTCTTTGGCTTCTATAACTCAATACCCTCCTGATTTTCTTCCTACTTCTCTGACCTCTCCTTACATACCTCTTCTACTTGGCCATCTCTTCTACTCTTTTTCTATCTCTTCTACTCCAAATGTTGGCGTTCCTCAAGGCCCAGGTCTAGCCCTCTCATTGACTTATTTCATAACCCCCACCCCCACCCCAGACAATCTCATCCATATCCATCAATATTACACACAACTCCAATTTATGGCTCCAGTCCCTACATCTCCTCAGAGCTCCAGAGCCTTATATATCATTCATCTATCAACTTGGTATCTCTTAAATGAGTCAAAGGCATATTCAAATCCGAAGTCAGGATTACTCCACAACCTGACAAACCAGGTCCTCTTTCAGGATTTTCTATCTTAGTGAAAGGCACTCCCCCATCCCGATGGGGGAGCCAGAAACCTAGGGGTTATCAATAATACCTTCATCTCCCTCACTTCCATATCCAATCCATCACCAACTGCCTCACCAATATGTCTACTTACCTTCACAAACACTACTGTACCCTAGTCTAGTGTTTCTCAACAGAACATTTTGGGGCAGAACAATTCTTTGCTAAGTGGCACTACCCACACATATTAGAACACTTGGCATCCCTAAGCCACCTGCTCTTCCCCACCCTAGTCATTATGACAACCAAAACACCTCCACGCATTTTCAAATAGCCAAGGGGAAGCAGGAATAATATTACCCCCAGTTGAGAACCACTACAATAACCTCCCAAACTGGTCACTCTAAAGTCACTCTGTTCCCCCTCACCACCATCTATTTTCCCAACTGCATAAAGGTCCTTTCAAAATGCAAATCGGGACGCCTGGCTGGCTCAGGTGGTAGAGCGTGCAACTCTTGATCTCGGGGTTGTGAGTTCCAGTCCCACGCTGAGTGGAAGAGATCACTTTAAAAAAAATTTTTTTAATGCAAATCTAATAAGGACATGGTCCTTCAATGGCTTCTGTAGCAGAGACACCTCATTGTCCCCAAACATCCATTTGTTCTTTCTTCCTTCACAACAGACTATCTGAATATTAGCTGAGCACATAAACACCTAGGCAAAGGCCACACTTCCTACCTCCCTTGTAGGTAATTGTAGCTGTTGCCTAACGACATAAAAAAAGGAAGAGGTATGTGCAACTTCGAGGAAGGATGTATGCCCTCCCAGCTGACTATAACACTGATGTGACTGCACAGAGCCAAAGAGCCATCTCATGCCATAGGACGAAGCTGCATGACAAGGATGGAAGAGCATCAAGATGGAGAGAGCCTAGGTCCCTGGTAATCAAAGACTCTATACCAGTCCTGGACTGCCTAACCTTTATGAGAGAGAAATAAACTTTTATCATATTTAAGCCTCTATTGTTTGGGTTTTCAGTCACTCTCAGTCTAATTTAATCCTAACACAGCTTCCTACTGCTCTTAGGATAAAAACAAAAAATAAACTTTTATTTATGCCATTATTATTGGAGTTTTCAGGGAATCTCAGCCAAATCTAATACTACCCAATACAACCCACTACTGGTCTCATGATAAACAAAGACCCTCAACATGACCCAAGAACCTGACTGTTCCAGCCCAGCTTCGACCCTGTACTCTACTCCAGCCACAGTGGCCTTCTTTCATCTCTGTACCTACCATGATCCCTCCCACCAGAGGTGTCACACATGCTTTTCCCTCTTCTCTTCATCTGGTTACCTCCTACCCAACCTTCTGATCTTACCTCAAGCATCACTTCCTCTGGGAGGCTTCCCTGACTTCTCCAACTAGATCAAACTCCCTCTTTTTAGGTTCTCCTAGCACCAGGTACCTCTCCTTCATGAAATACTTTTTCAGTTACAATCTTACATTTGTGTGGTTACAAATGTGTATATACATTATATATATGTGCTATATATATAATATATATAAAATTCACATACTTCTCAAAAAATGATTTTGCTTCATTCTCATGTTGATTGTAGACTAGTTCCAAATACATGTGTACAAACAGAGGATAAAAGAGTTGGGATAACTCTGCCCGATGGCAGTCCAAGGAACATTCAATGAAGTGTTTCAGTCCACTATAGTATTCTTCATACATTGTGGGGTCCCCTTGTTGGTTGTAGGCTGACAGCACAGCACTGACATCCGGCTGGTCTTCTACAGCTACACTTCCAACTGTTTAAAAAATGAAGAACAACCTTCAAAAAATGACTGATACATACCAAGTGACTAAGGCTGCTTTGCTAAGGTCCAGAGGTAAACTGCTTCTCAGATGTTTGTCCCGCTCCTCTCAAAGTCTCTTCCCCAACACAATCATACAATCTTTCAATGGGATTTTCATTTTGTTTCAGTCACCTATCCCAAACTCCTTCAGCTTGTCCATATCTTAAAATAAAATTTTCAAATCAGTAACAAAAAGGTTCATTATTTTTCCCGCAGCTACCTCAAAGACAAAATTCATAAAACGGGATATGTGCAAATCAAACAACTATATTAATCTTCTGTCAAGGCTCAATGTAAATGGCACCCACCACCACCAAGCCAAGCGCTGAAGTAAGATTCCCAGCTCTCTGAGCTACCTAAATATTTTGCAACTTTCCTATAACACATCCTATCCTGTAGGATATGTGTACATCTATCTCACTCCTTATAAAATGCAAGCATTTTAAGGGTGGGAAGGCCGAGCCTTATTTGTTTCCAAAAGATAACTCAATTTATATGCTTAAAATAATTTCCAAAAACATCATTCCAAAGCAGAAAACATGAGTATTTATTTGTAATATTGCAATACCAAACAATGATAACCCGTCAATCTAATCAGTTTGATTGTTGGAAAATTTTAAGTTGCAATTATAATACTGCTGTGCTCTTCACTGCACAAATGTTTTAAGTTATTTCGGTTACTCTCATGGCCTCTTTTCCTTCTTACTGGTTTCTGAGTTATGATAAGTCAAGTTTCCGAAGAGAGGAGAGATTACAGAAAAATAACCAACATAATTCATCCATCTTATAGTTCATTCACAAAGTTCAGCATTCAGAAAAGATTCCTCTCAGTCATATTTTTGCACATTTCTATTTGTGGGATACAATGCTACATATTCATACTTCACTTCTGGCAATGCTGCAAAGATTAGGTCTCATAAATACAGATTAATTTGGCTAGAGGCTCTGCACTAGACAATTTAATTCAATAAACGTTTATTATCAGCTCAGGATCACCTTTGAGACCTCATATTGTGTATGAATTTTACTGCATGGACTTTGCAATTACAGTTGCTAGGAAAAGGCTGGGGAAGGAGGTCTCAGGTGTTAAGTGTTAGGTGCTAGGCATAAATTTATCAGTACCAGGCATTTTATATATATTATATCTGAGCCTCACAATAATCCATTTAATAGAGGGGGGGAACTCTTGCTCTCAGGAAGAATTAGCATCACACAAGTAAAACCAACAGAGACAGAGTCTGAACCCAGGTCTGTCCCAAAGTCTATTCCTAAATGAATGATTCTCAACCTTTGCCATACGTCAATACCACTTGGAAGCATATATTCAAAAATGGAGATTCCTAGACTCCACCTCTACATGATCTGATTCACTAAGTCTGAAGTAACAGACTGTATAAATATTGTTAATGTTAATGCAGACCTGCCAAGGCTCAAGAACCCAAGAAAGAAGAAAGGGACCAAAAGCCTGAAGGTCCCCGCCTCTCGGCGCCCACCCTCTGCTCAACAGCTCTCCTCAGCCTCTCACTGGAACTGACAGCTTGGAAGAGGGTTTGACTGCGCAGCCGGCGCACTAGAGAAAGGGGCGGGCATGTGGCCCTAGAGGCGGGCCCAGGAAATTCAAAACAAGCCCGCAGAGGTGCAGGCCTGCCAGCCTCTGCCTTCCCGGCTTGCTCCCCTTACTGCCCTGCCTCCCCGGGACTCCGCGGCTCACCTTTCCCCGGAGCCGCAGGACCTGTCGCTAAGCCCGAGACGGCGGCGGCCCCCGAAGCGCCGGTGCCCGGAGGGTCAGGGGCCGCGGGGCCGGGGGCCGAGGCTGTGACCCGGCTGAGAAGCGCGCTAGCCGCCTCTGTACCGGCGCCGTCCGCCTCTCCCGGAGCTCCGGTGCCCGCCACTGCCTCCTCCAGCAGCCGGGCCTCACGGCGCAGCGCCTCTTCGGCCTCGCGGAGGTTGCTCTGCCGCAGGAACTGCAGCACGGCCAGCAGAGTCTGTCGGTCGTGGGGAACGCCGGCCTCCGGAGCAGCGGCGGGCACCGGGGCCGCCCCCGCCGGAGCAACGGCGGAGACAGCCGCCGAGGGTTTGGGGGTCCCACCATCCCCGCCGGCCGACGACGACGCCGTCGCAACGTTCCCGCCGCCGCCGTTGGGGCCGTTGTTGGTAGTGCCGCCGCCACCCTCGCCAGCGCCGTCCCCCGCCTGCGGAGGTAGCAGCGTCGGCGGTCCCTCCGGCTCTAACTTGACCGCCACCTCCGTCTGCTCCTCCGCCAGCGCCGCCATCTTGCGGCTGAGCCACCTCGCGCCGTCAAGCGTGATTGCGTTTTCGCCACATGGAGGGCGGGGAGGAGCGTTTTACGACACCTTGGGAAGGCAATGTACGGCAGTAGGAGGGGCGAGAAAGGAGGAGAAAAAGAATAGGAGCAAGAGCAAGTTTCAAAAGTGAGTGACAGAAAGGCAGGAAGTGGGAGGTGGCGACCGCCTGTAACATTTGACTGTAATAATTGCCGTTCACTGAAGACCCGCTATTTTTAGGCACCGTGAGAGACATTTTACATGTTATGACCTCCTTTAATTCACCAGTCTTATAAGGCAGTATTATCCTCTCTTTACAGGTGGCTCAACCGAAACCCAAAGAGGTTAAACAACTTGCCAAAGTCACGCAAGAAGAAAGTGAAAGTGTCAAAATTCGAATCCAGGTCTCTAACTCAAAAGCATATCCCATAGCCAGGAGGCTTCTGAGATACTGGTAATGTTTTATATTTTCATCTGGGTGGTGGTGACTTTTTATTTTTTTGCAGTTTTTACCTTTGTAAAAATTAAGCTACACACTTAAGTTTTGTGAACTTTACAGTATGTATGTTATAATTCAATAAAAAGTTTTTAAATACCTAAATTTTGTCATTGTGAAATATGTACATTCTGTATTCGTGCAATGTTATCCTTTATTACAAATAAACTGCATTTTAATTGTATATTTTTATAAATAGTATGTGCCATTTTGGAATATGCTTCATAGGTTATAAAACCTTGCTGATATTTTATTTCATTTGAATCTCAAAATTCTGGGGATGGGTGCAGACAAGAAAAGTGAGCCTGGGGAGTTGGGAAGATCTAGCACAGTTATTCCTGTTGTTGGTTTTTAAGTCCTACTAGTTTCTTTCAAACTTGTTGAGTAGCTGAATGACCTGGATCAAGTTACTTAACTCAAGTTGCCCAATTTCTAAAATAGGATTAATAATAGTACCTACCTCACAGAGTTGTGTAAGGATTAAATGAGATAATGTGTATATGATACCTAACACATAATAAATAGCTGTTGGTTATTTTTCCTTCACCATAAAAGCTGTTCTGTAAATGTTTGCTAGAGTCCAGTTATGATGTTCAGGGTGATCTCAAGATGGGAATATGAAGCTAATCTAACTGGATATCTAAAGTAAGATTATGGGGGTGCCTGGGTGGCTCAGTGGTTAAGCATCTGCCTTCGGCTCAGGTGATGATCCCAGGGTGCTGGGATCAAGCCCCACATTGGGCTCCCTGCTCCATGGGAGGCCTGCTTCTCCCTCCCCCACTCCCCCCTGCTTGTGTTCCCTCTCTCACCATGTCTCTGTCAAATAAATAAATTTAAAAAATCTTAAAAAAACTTTTTTAAATAAATAAGATTATGGAAACCTGGTGGGAGTAGGGGGTAGTGGGAGATGACTAAGAACTGGTTAGCATTTTTTTTTTTTAGATTTTATTTTATTTTTTTAAGTAATCTCTACACCTAATGTGGGGACTCAACCCCAAGATCAAGAGTTGCATACTCCCATCAATTAAGCCAGCCAGGCGCCTTTGTTTGTTTGTTTCTTTCTTTCTTTTAAGAAGACTTGCTTAGCATTTACCCAGCACTGATCAATAGAGAGAGAACCTGAATCTCATGTGCACACTTATGAGGTGGGGAGAATTTGTCCTTTTCCTTAGGATCATTGAACTAATTTTTCTGATTCAGTATTTACTAAATAACTTGATAATTGGTAAAGAATTGAGCACTTAGATGAGAGAAGCCATGAATAACAAGCTCAGGCATGTTTATTATTCCCTGGAAGGTGGTTTTACGCCTTTACAAATAGTATATTAACATTCTGATGCATATATTAGTCTCAAGAATCAGATCCTAGGAACTGGGTTTACCTCTACAGCTGAAGCCCACATACTGGGACTCACAAAAGTACAGCCACCCCCTTTCCCTCTGTAGGGTCCACCTTTCACCTGCCTTTGTTTCTTAAGTTCCAAAATGTCTGGGTTGGTACCTCAGACAAGTAGAGTGGTTTTCCTGTTATACCACAGAAGAGATAAGTATACTGAGTAACTGCAAGGCCTACTTCTAATTTTTGTTTCTCTTTTCCCCTTCCTTTCTAATCCCTACTCCCATTCTCCTACTCTCTTCTTAGTGTGTTTTAGGAAGTCAGGTATCAATCTGTACCTTTTTCCTTTACAGGAGAGCTACTGTTTCTCTCTGGATGTTTCTCTTTCTCTTCAGTGTTCTTTCATTTTACTCTAATGTATCTAGGATTAGATTTTTCATGTCTATCCTGATTGGCCCTTTATGCACCCATTCAATCTGAGTTTGTTTTTTTTTTTAAATTCTGGGAACTTAGAAGCATTATATCTACAAATATTTTCTCCCTTCTCTTTTTCCCCTTCTTATATTCTTGGTTTTTTTAAAAAGATTTTTATTTATTTATTTGAGAGAGAGAGCGCGAGCAGGGGAGATGGGGAGAGGGAGAAGCAGACTCCCCGCTGAGCAGGGAGCTCAATGCAGGACTCAATCACAGGACCCTGGGATCATGACCTGAGCCGAACACAGATGCTTAACAGACTGAGCCAGGCAGGTACCCCTCTTCTTGTATTCTTGTAAACAGATATTGATACTTACACTTCTATCTTCTAGGTCTGCTTTCATATTTTCATGTTTATCCCTTCCTAATACCTTCTAGAAGGGTTCCTCTACTTGATTTTTCAGTGAAATCATTCATTCTCAGCCTAGATCCCTATTGTTATATAACCCATTTATTAAGTTATTTACTTCAACCATTATATTTTCCATAGTATTTTGAATTGGTTCTTCATGATTTATTATCCTGCTTCAACCCAGTTGGGAGATTTTGTCCCCCCTGGGGACATTTGGCAGTATCTGGAGACACTTTCGGTTTTTACATCTCAGGGTGGTGCTTCTGGAATCCTGGTAGAAGCCAGGGATGCTCCTAAACTTACCACAATGCACAGGACAGCCCCGTCCCACCACAGCATAGAACTGTCTGGCCCAAAATGTCAGTAGTGCCCAAATCAAGTACCCATGATATAACTAATATGAACTCTTTTCTTTTTAAGGATGTATATTTATTTAAATTATCTTTTCGTCTGATGCATTTAATCTGTTATCTCATCCCTCCTATAACTCATTACTTTTCTCTATGAATTTGTATTTCACTGAAGGTATCAGCTCCTTGGCTAATAGGTATATGCAGAGGGAGAGGCAGAAGCCCAGCATTGGGAAAACGTGAAGGATGCACCAAAAGGAGGAAAGTCTGTAGTGTCACTGTCTGGGCTCTATCACGCCCTGTTTGCCAACTCACATGTGCACACATGTGCACACACACATACCCTCAGGATTTTCACAGTTTTTACAGATCTGTCGATTTTGGTGCCATCTCAGGTTGGGTGTGATAGGGGAGCCAGCCACCAGTGTGAATTTACCATCTTGTTTGGTTCCTAAATTTAAACTCACACCAGGGGGATGAGGCTGAATGTTCCAACCCTCGAATCACATGGTTGGTTCCAGACCTCATCCTGAGACTATCCAGGTGTCCTCAGCCACCAATCATCTCATTAGCATACAAAAAGACCCTTATTACTTCAGAGATTCCATAGGTTTTGAGTCATATGCTAGAGGGAAGGGGCACAGAGACTAAATGTATATTTATTACTATGTCACAAACAGTTTCATTATGTCCTTTCCAATCGTGTGCCTTTTATTTCTTTTTCTTGTCTTATTGCATTAGCTAGGATTTGCAATATGGTGTTGAATATGAGTGGTGAGGTGAAAGTGGACATACTTCATTCCTTGTCTTAGGGAGAAAATACTTAGTTTTTTATTATTAAGTATGATGTTTGCTGTGGGATTTTTATAAATGCCCTTTATCAAATTAAGGACATTTCTGGGCAGTGGCATACCTTGTATCTCAGTTCTTAAAACCTATGGAACATTGATTAGGCTCAGATCATGTATATGCAGCTTGAGGATAAACCCAACTTTATGGGACCATTTTATTGATCTTAATCTCCCCAATACTTTCCTTTCTGGTCCTCTAGCTAGAAAAGGGAGTGGGCTTTAGTTTTCTCACTCTGTTGTGTACTCCCTGAAAATGCAACTGCTGTGGAACCAAGAAGCAAAAGGATATACAGTGAAAACAGTAGTGGGGATCCCCCCCTGCTCTTGGGATCAGAGTTCTCCCCTCAGAGTTTTAGATGCCTGCCTGGCCTCCACTACCATCCCCCCCTCCATTGCCACTATGGATGTGCCAAGGGACTGGTGTGAGAGAGAATGGAAAAACAACAAACGTTGGATTTCCATCACAGTTTATGACCTACAGAGGCCCCCTTTGCTGTTTCTCAAACCATGAGAGAGGATTTCTCTTGGAGTTCTCTCTGACCACACCTGGTACACAGTTTTGTGTTTCAGCTTGTGTTTGAGTCCAGGCCAGGAGATACCAGAGGGAAAACAAAATGGGAAATGCAGTGATGGGTCAGTTGTAGTTTTGAGTTCCAGTTGCCTTCCCCAACCTGCCTCTTGCCATTTGCATTCTAAAGTCTGTAGATAGCCGTTCCATGTATTCTGTCCAGAGTTTTTACCTGTATTGAGTGGGAAATACAGAGTGAAGCACTAATTATCTTGACCAGACCCAGTAATCTCAGCCACCTTAGTCGATATGTATTTTAGTTTATATTTTGTCTTATCATTAGAGAGCTTGAACATCTTTTCATATTTTGGAGCTGTTTTTATATTACTGTGGGGGACTAAGTTTTATCTTTTTCCTCTAATTTTTTTGAGTTTTTTATCTGTTTAGCATATTAGTTCTTTATCTGAGATATGTGTTGCAAATACTTTCTCCTGGTTTGGCCATTATCTTTTCATATTGTTTATATTTTGGGGGCTTGCAGAAGTGTTTTTTTTTTTTTAAGATTTATTCATATATTGAGTGAGAGAGAAAGAGCACGAGCAGGAGGGGCGGAAGGAGAGGAAGAGAGAATCTGAAGCCGACTCCATGCTCAGCATAGAGCCTGACATGGGTCTCCATCTCATGACCCTGAGATCACAACCTGAGCTGAAACAAGAGTAGGACACTTAACCAACTGTGCCACCCAGGTGCCCCCAGAAGTGTGTTTTATGAAGTCAGAGTTACCAACTATTTTATTGCATCTGGATTTGGAACCATAGAAAGATTTTCCTTTCACCTAAAGAGGAATTCACCCATGTTTTCCTCTGGAGCTTGTATAGTTTCCAATGAGCTCTCTAATTGGTTTGGGACTGAATCTTGTATATGAGGTGAGGTATGAATCTATTTTTTTTTCAAAAGTGTTTCAGAAATCCCACAACTGAATAAATAAAATCTTTAAGGGAAAAAAAATGGATGCCTGGGTGGCTCAGTCGGTTGAGCATCTGCCTTTGGCTCAGGTCATGATCCCAGGGTCCTGGGATCTGAGCCCCACGTTCGGGGGGGTCCTTGCTCAGCAGGGAGCCTCTTCTCCCTCTCCCTCTGCCTGCCACTCCCCCTGCTTGTGCTCTCTCTCTTTCTCTCTCTGACAAATAAATAAAATCTTTAATAAAAAAAAAAAAGGACAGACGGAAGGAAG